TAATAAAGATATTGAATAGCACTGGGCCCAGGACAGAGCCCTGTGACCCACTGGTCACTTCTTTCCAAGTTGAAAAGGAGCCATTTCATTTTATCAACCTACAAAAAGATGGAAGGCTGCGTCAACTTTGGAGCCTTGGGATGAAACTCACAGCCTTGTGGCCACAGTACTGGTATTGAACCACTGTGCCACCTTTGGTTTCTTTTGTTTTGAAAGCCTCCACATCTTTACCATCTCTTACTGGCATGCATATACAATCATACCCTCCAACATTTCATATATGAAAACTGGGACCATGTGGGCAGGCAACATCAGAGTATGGTCAAAATGGCAAAATATATTAATAAGGATGGGCACACAAGCTAAAATAGGGTAAAGTAGTTTGCTTTTGTCTGAACCTACAGAGAAGAGCAAGACTCTGCCCCTTCCTCTACTCTCTACTATGTTGAGCTGAGTGCAAACTACTTTTGCACTTTGAACTTTGTAAGTAAGTAAGTAAGTAAACTTTATTCTTTTATCCCACCTTTTTCCTATCAGGCAATCAAGGCGGCTAACAATTCCTCAGACAAGCATAAAAGTATATTATGGCATAATAAGCAATTACCCCCTTTAAAATTACATATAGTAACAATTATAGGTTAAGATGACTGGTGTATTCACCAGCTACTGAATTAAGTTGAGGACAACAGGAGAATATGGATAGGAGAGGAGAGGAGAGGAGAGGAGAGGAGAGGACAGGAGAGGAGAGGACAGGAGAGAAAAACTGCAACTTTTTACAAGCAGCTGAAAAAGTGAGATGACAAAAGATTAACCATGTATCACAGATCAGATGATGAAACTTCTATTTCTTGTGCCTCTTATTTTTCACATGATCTGTGCAAGCTTCTCCACACACTAATCTGAAACAATTGTTTCTAATAGAAATATTAAACACCCACAGTACATTCCTGTTAAAAATACAGTGTATATCACACTAATTCACAAAATTACACATCATATGTTTCTATAGCCAACTACCTCACAATGAATATTGGGCAGAATAAACAATAATGCCATTTGCCAATTAAGAATGTGGGCTATATACGTTGGCTTATTTGACTTCATTTGGACTGTGAAAGTTCATATATTGTTGTTCTAATAGCTTCATTTGAACATGTGCAATCTTCTCTGAGAACTTCCATTGACCTTAGCAAAGTTCTTTTAGCTTTTCTGTATATTTTCTCATAAATACAGTTACCTTCCTTTGTACTCCCTCCACATTTGCATCATGGTGTATTTTATCTTTTACTAATTTTCTTTTCCTTTCATTCTAAATCACTGATTTTCCATTTGCCCTATTATCGTTGTTGTTCACTATTAAAAATATTTTGTACCACAATCAACACACAAGCAGATATGAAAGTGATCACTGCAAATGGTTTAATAGGTAACATTAAGGAGCCCTGGTGGTGCAGTGATTAAATGCCAGTACTACAGCCACCGAGTTGTGAGATTTTTGCCACAAGATTCTGAGGTTGTGAGTTCGATCCCAGGCAGGACTCCAAGGTCCACTCAGCTTTCTATTCTTTTGTAGGTCAGTAAAATGAGTACCTAGATTGTTGGGGGCAATTGGATTACACTTTGTAAACCATTTAGGGAGTGCAAGTTCCCTAATAAGTGGTATAGAAATGTACTTGCTATTACTATTGCTATTGGGCTAGTCTACAAATAAATGTACTATGTGGATTGGTGTGCATTTTTGCATATTCACAATGATGGTTATTCTCTTCAACTTATCCTCCCTCTGCTGAAAATGCACAACAATACATGCAAAGCAAAGGGTGGCCAAACATGCAACAATGCACATTTCTGCAGATTTAAGTTGATACTCCAGTAAAAAAGCTCAAAGCATTTTTTCCACTGAGTTTAAAGAGGGTTTGGGGTTTTTTTTTGTTTTGTTTTTTGTTTTTTTGCTTGCTTGTTCTCCCCACCCACCCCCACTGCAAAAAGTCCAAATTCCTATGAATTGTGTGTGGCCAGATCACATTCTATTTGACTGGAATGAGGAGTATTTAAGTATTAAGGCCATACAGAACTTAATGCACTTTAGTGTCCTTAAGTGATGTGAAGAAGTTATATACATTATACCATTTGTGCCATCAATGGCATAATTTGAAAGGAGAAATATGGAGACTCTTGTATTTTAAATAAAACTTCAAAATGTCCCACTTTCAATAAACAATAAATGTCCAAATCTTTCACTTGAGGTTGCTTCAAGTTCTATTCAGATGAAGATTTTGTATTAAATCTACAGCAAATGCCAGTTCAACACTTTATTGTGTTTCATTTCTGTGTGTTGTGTTTGATCTTCTGCTGGTTACAAGACTTTAGCATTAAAGCCATTAAATTCATTCTACAGTGGTGCTGAAGCCGAGGTAGGCAAACAGCTTCTACCTAGCTTCTCTGCCAAGTACATTTGTTTCCATCTGTGCTTGGATTGATTGTTCTAGTCTTCATGGTAAAGTATAATCTTAAGATGTCCCTTTAGTGTTCTCATTTTCTCTCACCAGCTGGATTCCAATTAACAGCTTCATGAGTATGTTTGCATTTTGGCACCTTTAATGACGTTAACTTCAAATATGCCTGGTACATTTTCATGTGTATTTTATTTGTGGATTAAAACAACCTTGCTGTTGGTGCCTTTGTATGTATGTGAGGACTGCTTTTTACCTTATATTAAGTGCTGGGCAGGATAACCAGCTCATGCCAAATATGAAGAGAAATTTCTCATGTCTTAAATGAAATGCAGCCATCTCTCCATGGGAAGAAACATAATGATTTCTCACAACAGAAATAAAACACAACGCTCAAATATGTTTAACAAAAACTTGACAAAACTTTTTGTTAGGCACGTGGGAAGGGGACAATTTTGAGTGAGGAAACAGTAGGGGCATAGTAAGTACATTGAGAGACATGCTTTGATAGCAAGCTCACGCCTGGAACTCTGCAGAACAAAATGTGGTTTAGGGAGGGAATAGAAACTAAAATGGAAAAACTGCAGATGGGGAAAGAGTAAGGCATCTTCTCACATCTCCACCCTGATTACTGCTTCTTGAACATTGTTACACTAGCAAAAGATTTTCAGAGTCTCTTTCACACAGTACAGTTTTATCATTAGATATCACTTCCACCTATGGAATCCTGGGATTTATAATTTTGTAAGAACTATGTGGAAGAAAGCTCTAGTGCCTTGTTTTTATGTGTAAAAACACATACTTATGGGTAACACTGATACAATCTTATCTTGGGGTTTTCTGGCCAAAATTTGTTGGGGGGGGGGGCTTTGCCTTCCTCTAAGGCTGAGCAAGTATGATTTGCTCAAGGTCACCCAGTGTTGTTTTTTTTTTTTTTTTTTTTTTTTTTTTGCAGTCAAGCGGGGATTTGAACCCTGGTCTGCAGTGTCACACTCCAGTGCTCAAGCCACTACACCACACTGGCTCTCTAGTGTTTTGCCAAATCAGAAATACAAAGATTCCAAAGGGTGTAGCCACAGCAGTTTAAAGTGGTATCAAAGACTATAATTGTGTGCTACCTGTGATCATTTTAGATTCTGCCTTTACAATTTTTTCTGAAGGTTTTCCTGTTATTATCCTGTATCCATGAAACAGCTGAAAACTCATGAAAATCTTAACTGAACCTTATCAGAAGAATGCAGAGCCCTGGAAGATATCAAACATATCAAAGGAGAGAGAGCATATGTCAGGAATTATTGCATCTGCATTCATCTTTCCCATTTTCTGGACCATTAGTAGTGTCCCAACTATTTCATCTATCAAGGCTGGGCACGATACCTGGAGAGAGAATGGTGTATGAAAGGGCTTCCATTTCCATCAAACTCCTTGTTTGACAATCATCATCTTCCTGAGTACTGATGCATTTATATGCTCTTCTTGGTGCATCCTGGTTTATGCTTTAGTCCTGAGGTCAGGCTTACTTCTTGATTTTGCCTCCATAATAACAGGACTTAATGCTGAATCTTAAGGTTGAGTTTATTATTGCTTATGCTTGTCTCTCATCCCCACAGGACTTGCTTCTGCTTGTTCTCCATTCCTATCAGAAGCAAGTTTCTACTTTGGCCCTTAATTAATTGCAGTAATGGAGCTATATAAAAAGTTTTAAATGCTAGTCTCATGTTTATTTAATACAGGCCAAATGGTCCAGTTTTACCTATTGATGGTGGCAGATTAATATAGTTTTAAAAGAGCCATAAATGTGTTGTTAAATTCCTACATATTAAAGGCTTATTGGGTTCCTCTTTGTCACCATTCTTCTTAGCAAAGTAAGTATTTGCCTATTATGATATGCAAAGGGATCTTGTAACACCATTGAGACTAGGGGCTGGAGCAGACAGTCACAAAAGAGTGGCTCAGGTCTGCTCCAGCTGGAAGTGGGTTGGAACACTGCTAACCACACAGCCCACTCCCAAGTTGGGCCATGTATGCAGGGGCCAACTGGCATCACCAAGAGTTGATTTACTCCAGCTCCTTTTTGCTTGTCTTAAGGACTGGAGCATGACATCGGTGCAGCATCCAGCCACTTTGGAGACATGTGTCATCTAAACACCATGCCTCCAAAGCAGGCAGAAGCCACTTCATTTTGACTGTCTGTTTCACTTCTAACTGAGCAAAAGATGTTATAGCATAAGCTTTTATAGACTTGGACTATTTTCTCAGATGCATGGAGTGAACACAAACAGCACACAGCACACAGTAGAGCAAGTTTACAAAAGCTTATGCTACTACATCTTTTGCTCAGTTAGTCTCAAAGGTGCTACAAGCTCCCTTTACATACAGATATTCCAGACTAACATGACTATGGGGCGAAGGAGACAAGTATCTTGGCTTCTGATCGGTCAGAGAATGTGGTGACTAGACAGCTCAGTATTAAAGCGGGCTGCTGCCATGGTCTCAAATAGGCCACTGGCAAGGAGTGGCTTTTCACCAGGCCTTTTGTTGGTGGCCTCAGAGAGGCATCCAGCCACATCAGGGACATGTGTCATCTTCATGCCATGCCTCCAAGCAGCCAGAAGCTTCACTTTTTGGCCCGCCTGTTCCAGGCCACAGTCTCTGAATTATATTTGATAATTATACTAAATTGGTGTTGGTGCTGGACATCAGGAACATAGCCACCTTATATTGAGTCAGATCATTGACCAGTCAAGGCCAATACTGTTAACTTGGAGTTGAAGCATCTTTCTGCCATTTCACAACATATCTTAGAGAATTCTGGTATTTCCCTAGTCTCCCATTCAAGCACCAGCCAGGTACTAAGCAGATTGTCCCTGCTTAACCTCTGAAATAAGATGTTAGTTAGCTAGCTATGCTGAGGTGATATCAGCTAGGAGAGCAGTCTTCAATATAGAAATAATAATTTTTGATATTTTGTTGTTGTTTTCTTTTTACCGAACAGTTATATGACTCTTAGTGAAGGACATATTTCACTTATACACTAACACCTTCTTGGTTTTTTACCATTGCCATTGGAAACTGTTTTTTTCTACACAATTGGTCCTACTTAGTAAAGGGTGCACATTTACTAAGTAGGACCAATTTTTGCATCTGCCGCCATCCTGAAACCTAGCAATTCTTTGAGGGTTGGTACTGCTGTGGTATTAATTCACACTGTAGAAGCTAAAATGAAACTATGAAGAAAGAAAGACAGTATCTTCTTGCTGGCTTGCATCATGTACAAACCTTAGAGACATAATTTTTTTAGTCAAGTAGACTGTAAGTAAAAGATGCACTGAGATAAAGTAGTAAAATTAAGCTTATATTCTTGTCAATGTTAGGAAGAAAACATCCCAAAGATAAGTCATAATTTAATGGAAAAATCACTGTCGATAATTCAGTAAGTAAAGTAAAGAATATGGTGGTCCAAGTGGTTAAGACATTGACTCTGTTGATTGCAAGATCAGCAAGTTAGCAGTTCGAGGCCCAGGTGCTGCATTATGGGGTGAGCTCCCATCACTAGTCCCAGCTTCTGCCAACTTAGCAGCCTGAAAGCATGCAAATGTAAGTAGGTAAATAGGTACCACTTCTCAGTCGGAAGGTAAACAGTGTTCTGTGCAATCATGCTTGGCCACATGATCACAAAATAGTCTCTGACAACGCTGGCTTTTTGGCTTAGTAATAGAGATGAGCACTGCCCCCTGCGATTGTACACAATTTGACAACCTTGTCAACAGAGAAAACCTTTACCTATACCTTTAAAGAACCTGTACACAGCACTGATGACTCACAAAACCCAGTGCTCCATTCTTTTAAGTATTTACCATGCTGCTGAATTTAGTCCATGGGACTGTAAAAATACATTTCACAAAGGGCTTAGTCACATGTGTGTCATTATTTAATCACTGTTACCTGATGATACATTTGAAATCATTCCATTGAAAAGTAGCATGTTTTGAAGTATAGTAATGTCAGGAACTTTCCAAATAAATTTTGTATTCTTGCTGATACTGTTTCATACACAAATGTCATATTCTGATATGATGTTTCATTCATAGTTTTGTTGTTATATGCCATAAAGTTGACTTCAAGTTATGGAAACTCTATGACTGAGAGACCTCCAAGAGTCCTATCATCAACCATCCTGTGCAGGTCTTACAGACTCAAGGCCATGGCTTGTTTGATTGAGTCTATCTATCTGGGATGTGGACTTCCTCTTTTCTTATTGCCTTCTAATTTGCTAAGCATTGTTTTTTTCTAGTGAGTCATGTTTTCTCATGATATGTCCAAAGTATGGCTGCTTCAGTTTAGTCATCTTGGCTTCTAGGGAGAGTTCAGGTTTGAGTTGCTCTAGGACCCATTGGGGACCCATTGATTTGTCTTTTTAGCACTTTGTGATGTCTGTGGAACTCATCTCCAGCACCACATTTCAAATAAGTTGATTTGCTTCCTTCAGCTTCCTTCAGCTTCCTTCACTGTCCAACTTTCACAAAAATACATAAAAAAGGGAAATACAATGGCATGGACAATCTTAACTTCAGTATTCAGTGATATATCTTTACACTTCAGGATCTTATCTAGTTCCTTCATAGCTGCCTTTTCAAATCCTAGTTTTCTACTGATATCTTGACTCCACTCTCCATTCTGATTAATGACTGAGTCATGGTATGCAAAATCTTGAACTATTTCAATATCTCCATTGGCTTCTTTTCAGTTATGTAAACCAGCTGTGGTCATTATTTTTGTGCAGCTGCAAACCTGCCTTTGCACTTTCTTTGCACTTTGCACATTCAGCTCTATGATGCATTATAACTATGTGTGAATTTCTACCAGCTTACAGGGATGTGAAAATTTGTCAGTCTCATTCTTCCCGAATTTCTTATTTCCCCACTGATATCCTAATTCCATCAGGATGGCTGGAAGTAGGTAATGATATACCAAATTGTATCTTGTTATAAGTACAGCACATTAGGAACATAACAGAATCATAGAATCATAGAGTTGGGAGAGACCACAAGAGCCATCCAGTCCAACCCCCTGCCATGTAGGAAATCACAGTCAATAAAAAGTTCCTTTGCTCATCCTTCCCAGCACTGTCTATTCCAACCGATCATGCTTCTCTTCAGGGTCTTAGACAGGGATACTAGAATCTGATTCCTTCTATAGAAGATGTCAGGGATTGAACTTGGGATAGTCTACATGAACAATGTCTAGCTCTGTCACTCAGCTGTAACCTTTCCTCTCTTATCCAGACCAACAGCCATCTCCACCGGCATTGTCATTTCAGGATCAGCCTGCCAGCGAGCTATGGATGTGAAAGAACCTGGCTTTATCTTTGTATTTTGCAGCAGCAGTTGAGTTCATGAAAAAAAATAATAATCTAGGGCTGCCAAGAGACATATTCAGGGGTAGCCATGTGGCAAAAAAGGCTGTGACCTCACAAAGGATGGAGACATCTGGGATCTCAGAAGAAGTACCTTTTTGCATTGCTAATGGAATTCAAATTTTATTTCCTGGACTTTGGAATGCTTTGTTCCCAGTGCCACAATGCCAGGAGGAGGAGGGATCTTCAAAGAACAGCACACCAACGCCAAGTTTGTGATTAACATCAGTATTTTATATATTTTTTTCTCCTGTATGATTAACACCTTTGCCTGATAAAAAAGGCAGTGGAGTTTGGAAAGCTTGCATCATGTATTTTGTGTATTTTGGTTGTCAAAGGTATCACTGTTTGGTGGATTTTGAATATTATTGTACCAAGGTTGCCAAGTGTCCCTTATTATAAGAGATATTCCTTATTTGAAGGCTGGGAAGCTTATTCCTTATAGGATTGATAGATACACCTTATAAAAGATGTTCCCTGTTTGATGGTTGGTAAGCTTTTCTTTTCGTATAGAAAACATGTTAAGAAACAATATTAAAACAACACCCTTGATTTGGGAATCTGGACTCTTCAAAAAAGCAGAAATGTATGCATTGTGTGATTTATGA